CACTGAACCCCCAACTGCTCCCCGGGCGCCGCAGCATAAATGGCTGCCCACTGCTCCGTGTGTGTGTTCACTGCTGTGTGTGTTCACTGCTGTGTGTGTGCACTTTGGATGGGATAAATGCAGAGCACTAATTCTGAGTATGGGTCACCATACTTGGCCACATGATGAAGTCACGTCACTTAAATCGATCAAAAGTGTCAGTAAAGACATTTATAATGTAACAGAAGATCTCTATTTCAAATAAATGCTGTTCTTTTGAACTTTCTATTCATCGAAGAATCCTGAAAAATATTGAAAGTGCTAAAAATTGCAACAAAAAAAACATTTAGGAATGTTAGAAAGACTGGAGTAATGATGCTAAAAATTTTGTGCAGCACAACTGTTTTCAACATTGATAATAATCAGAAATGTTTGTTGAGCAGCAAATCAGCATATTAGAATGATTTCTGAAGATCGTGTGACACTGAAGACTGGAGTAATGATGCTGAAAATACAGCCACATTCGCTTTTATTTGATAGAGAACGTGAATTAGAAACTTTTCTAATAACAAAATGCTCACATTTCGCTGAATTCCTGATTGTTCCTTTGGCGATACGGCTAGTAGAGGAACTACAGTTCCCAGCAGCCATTGCGGTTGTTTCCGGTGACGCGTGTAAACTAAGATGGCGCCGTCCGCAGATCAACACGCGCACGTCACTCCTGGGGGCTTTACTGGTAAAGTTAACATTTGTTTGTGTTTCAGTAACGTTTAGAAATCCGTTAATCACGGAGGATAATAATGATGCGTGTTCTGGCGTGTCTCTTGAGCTGTAAAGTGATGTGTGTGTGTGTGTGTGTGTGTGTGTGTGCGTGTGCGCAGTGCTGTCGCTGAGGTTCAGTGAGGATGACGCTCATGCTGCTCTTCATCAGCTGTGTGTTAAAGAGCACCGGGTTCGATCGGAGTCCAACACGAAGCGACCGCTGGACCGAACACTGTTCGTGCTGAACGTGCCTCCCTACTGCTCTGAGGTCAGTCACACACACACTCTATATACACTATACACACACACACTATACACACACACACACACAATATATACACTCTACACACACACACACACTCT